TCTGTATAAGTGGGAAGAAAAAAAAAAACTCAAACAAATGAAAGAAAGGCTACATTGTATCACGACAGAAGGGAATCTCAGCCTGTAACCAGTTGCCAGGCATGAGTCAGTTTGCAGATACAGAACTCCTTAATTGAAAGGCCTGGTTCCCTGAGGAAGGACATTGATAAAATAACCAAGAGTTTCACTATTAACCTTTCTCTGGCCTTCCCAAGAGGGACCTACGGCCTTCTATAAGGATAACTGTATACTTGGTGGAAAGGAAACAATCAGATCTTCTGGGATTAAAGGCATGTGCCACCATGCCTGAGTAAGTTTAATGTAGTTTTGGTTGAAGCCTGACTCACAATAGGTCCAGTGGTCTTTGAACTAATCCTGTGGTTATTTCCCCAGTCCCTGAATGAATAATTGGGTTAGATACACTCAGATGTTGGCAGAAATCTCACATTGGTTTCCCGACCTGTGGAGTGAGGGCTATTATGCTTGGAAAGGCTAAATGGATGTCATTAGAGTTGTCTCTGCCTTGGAAAACAGTGAAGCAAAACCACCATCAAATCCCTGGAGGAACTGGAGAAATTCGTGCCACCATCAAGGACTTGAGAGATGCAGGGTGGTGGTTCCTATCACATCTGGCCAGTGTAGAAGAGAGATGGATTGTGGAAAATGACACTTGACTACTGAAAACTCAGTCAGGTAGTAACTTCAACTGCAGCTGCAGTACCAGATGTGGTGTCCTAACTTGAACAAATGAACACATCTCCTGGTACATTGAATGCAGCTACTGACCTAGCAAATGGCTTTTTAATACCTGTCTATAAGGACCACCAGAAGCAATTTGCTTTCAGTTGGTAAGATCAGCAGTATACCTTTACACACGTTTGCCTCAAGGATATATTAACACTCCAGTCCTGTGTCATAACGTAGTTCAAAGGAATCTTGATTATCTATCTCTTCACTAAATATTGCTTTGGTTCACTATATTGACATTATGGTGATTAGACCAAGTGAGCAGGAGATAACAACCACTTTGAACTCGTTGGTAACACATATGTGTATCAGGATAAGAAATAAATCCAACCAAAATTCAAGGGCCTTCTACCTCAGTGAAATTCTTAGGAGTCCAGTGGTATGGGGCATAAAGAGCTATTCTTCTAAAGCGAAGGATAAGTTATTAACACCTGGTCCCTCCTGCCACCAAGAAAAAAGTACAATGTTTAGTGGGACTACTTGAATTCTGGAAACAACACATTCCTCAGTTAAGTATGTTACTCTGGACCATACACTAAGTGACTTGGAAAGCTGCTAACTTTGAGTGGGGCCTTGAACAGGAGAAGGCTTTCAACAGGTCCAGGCTGCTATACTACTTGGACCATATGATCCTTTAGACCCAATGATACTCGTATCCATGGTAGACAAGGATGCTGGTTGGAGCCTTTGTCAGGCCCCTATTGGCAAATTTCATGAGAGACCTTGAGGTTTTGGAGCAAGGTACCATCATCTGCAGACAACTATTTTTGAGAGACAGCTCTTGGCCTGATTTTGGGCCTTAGTGAAAACTGAACGTTTGATAATGGGCCACCAAGTTAGCATGCATCGTGAGCTGGGTGTTATTGGACTTCAAACAGAACTTGCACAGCAGCAATCTATCATCAAACAGAAGGGTACATACATGATCGGGCCCGAGCAGGTCCTGAAGGCGCAAGCAAGTTATACAAAGAAGTTACCCAAATGCCTATGGTCTCTACTCCCATTATAATGCTGTCTATACCTAGGAATGTCACTGTAACCTCATGGAATATTGCCTATGATTGGTTACTTGAGGAAGAGAAGACTAGGGCCTGGTTTACTGATGGTTCTATATATTATGCAGGCATTGCCCAGAAGAAGACAACTGCCCCATTACAACTCCTTTCTGGGACAACCCTAAAAGATACTGTGGAAGGGAAATCTTCACAGTGAGCAGAACTTTGAGCAGTACATATGGTCAGGCATTTTGTTTGGAAGGGAAAATGGCCAGATGTGTGATTGTTTACTGATTAGTGATTAGGGCTATAGTCAGTGGATTGGCTCCATTGTCAGTGACTTAGAAAAAGCATGATTGGAAAATTGGTGAGAAAGACATCTGGCGAAGACGTGGATAGATCTCTCCAAATGGGCAAAGGATGTGAAGATACTTGTGTCGCATTGTAAATACTCATAGAAAAGTGACTTCAGCAGAGGAGGAGTTCAATAATTGAGTAGATAGGTTGCACCTTTCTGATGATCAGCCTCTTTCAGCTATCTCTGTCATTGCTCAATGGACACATGAACAAAGTGGCTGTGGTGGCAGAGATGGAGGTTATACAAAGGGTCAACAACATAGACCTCCACTCACCAACTCTGACCTGGCTACAGCTGCTGCTGAGTGCCAGATCTGCCAACAGCAGAGACCGACTCTGAGCCCCAGATATAACAACCATTCCACAGAGTGACCAGCCAGCAACCTGGTGTCAGGTCACCTACACTGGACAACTTCCTCCACGGGCAGAAGAATGTTTTGTCCTTACTGGAATAGATACTTATTTTGGTTATAGATTTGCCTTTCCTACATGTAATGCTTCTGCTAAAACTACCATCCATGAACTTCTAGAATGCCTAATCCACTCTCACAGTTTTATTCAGTATTGTTTCTAAGAAACTCGTTTCACAGCCAGAGAAGTCTGGCAGTGTGCCCACAATCATAGAAGTCACGGGTCTTACAATGTTCCCCACCATCCTGAAGCAGCTGGCCCTATAGAAAGATAAGAATGACCTTTTGAGGACACAGTTACAGTGCCAGTTATGTGGTAGCAACTTGAAGGGCTAGGCCAGGGTCCTCCAGAAGATGGTATATGCTTTTAATCAGCAACCAGTATATGGTATGGATTCTCCCATAGTCAGGACCCACGGTTCCAGGAATCAGAAGTGGAAAGGGAATAGTTTCATTCACCATCACTCCTAATAACCCACTAGGAACATTTTTGCTTCCTGGTCACATAACCTGCTGGTCTAGAAGTTTGGGTTCCAGAGGAGGGAGTCTTCCTGCCAGGAAACACAACAAACATTCCTTTGAACTGGAAGCTGAGACTGCCTCTGGCCACTTAGGGCTTCTGATGCCCTTAAGCCAAGAGGCTAAGAAAGGAATAACAGTGTTCAGAGGGGTAATTGATCCAAATTACCATGGGGAAATTGGAATGCCTCTCCACAATGGAGGTAGGAAAGGTTATGTCTGGAGTGCAGGAGATCCTTTAGTGTGACTCTTGGAACTACCATGTCCTGTGATTAAAGTCAATGGAAAACTACAACAGCCTAACCCAAGCAGGATGACAAAGGGTGCAGACTCCTCAGGAATGAAGGTATGGGTCACTCCTCCAGGAAAAGAGCCTGGACCTGCTGAGATGCTTGTAAGGGTGGAGGAAATTCAGAATGGGTAGTAGAGGAAGGCGGTTATAAATACCAGCTAAGCTCACAATACCAGTTGCAGGGAGTGAGGGATATAATTGACATGAGTGTTTCTGTCATATTTTATTAAGAATGTGTTTACACAGATATTTGAGTTTTCTTTCTTTGATAGCTTTATCATATAACATAACACGAATTAAGAGAACATCATTAGTTACTATATTTAAGTTTTGAGATACCAAAAGAATGTCCCTCAAGGGACATTGTCACCTATTTTAAAATTTATTATGTGTTTGCGGTTTATGAGGGATAGTTACATCATATTAGGTGTAATTATGACCTAGCTAAATATATAATGCATTTGTGATTGTGTGTGGAACAGTTATATCATGTAGTGTGTAATTATGACCTAGTTACTGTTTTCATTTGGAAATTATGCATGACATAAGGAGATAAGATTGTGTCACGTTTACAAGGGGATGGACTTGTGCTAGCTATTGTTGGTTGTCACCTTGGCTACATTTGGAATGAACTAAATCCAAGAGGCTGGGTACGCCTGTGAAGGGATTGTTTTTCACTAGATCATTTGAAGTGGGAAGAGCCACTTTTAATTCAGGTCTTCTGAGGTGGGAAGATCCACCTCTTATGTGGGCCATATCATATGCTGGCAGCCTAAATAAAAAACACAGAAAAAGGAATAAGCTTTCACTTTTCACCCGTGCTCTCTCTCACTCTTACTGGCAAGCCCATTCCTTCATGGACAGTAGAACCTCCTTCCTCAGGATCCTGATATATACTGAAGACCAGCTGAGACATCAGCCTCATGGACTCATGAATACACAACAAAACCTGTGTTTTATGCTGTGTCTTAGTCATATGATCGTTATAGGTCATCTTGCTCTTCCAACTGTGGAAGTCTGAGTCTTTCATGTTGCTCATCTCTGTAAAAACAGCGTCCTGATGTATATCATATATCACGTATATCATGTATATTATATATATATCACACCTCAGGCTTGACACCTTTAGGTGCCTTGTTTTGCTTACAGTACTAAGAATTGAACCCAGGGCATCCCATTTGCTAGACAGGCTCTCTACCTCTGAGGCTCATCCCAGGCTCTAGCTTGTGAACAAATAGGTAACAACCCTTCTGATCACAGAGAATGCTAATCAGTGTTTTAAGGAGTTTGAAATCTCTCACACCTTTGTCCTCTGAAGCTGCACTCAATACTGATGTGCTTATTTCCCGTCTTGATGGGTGAGTTCAGCTTCAGCTTCTGAGCGGTCACGTGGCTGGCTTAATTAGGGGAGAAGAAAGTGCCATTCTGCCCTAATGCCCCAGTGGGAGACCTTTTCTTATGCACATGCTCACCGCCTCTGGAATAAAGTAGATTGCTAAGGACCCTTGGGCTGGCCGCAAGAGAGATTATTAGCCAGGGAAGACACATTTGAACTTGCTGAAAGGGCTGCCTTTGTGCCCAGGAAGGCGGGCCTTGGTGGGTCTTCTTTATTCCAGCAGCTTCTCCATTTTCAAGCTTGCAGAGTCTGAATAGCTGTCTTTTACCCACTAATCCCCACAGGAATGTGGCTTCGGCTATGGGGAGGATGCACAGTGTGTGCCCTGCAGGCCGCACAGGTTCAAGGAAGACTGGGGCTTCCAGAAGTGTAAGCCATGCGTGGACTGTGCACTGGTGAATCGCTTTCAGAGGGCCAACTGTTCACACACCAGTGATGCTGTCTGCGGGGACTGCTTGCCAGGGTGAGTTGGGCCACTTCTTCTATTATTTAATTCAATGGTTTCCAAGGCATTTCTCTGTTCCCTCTAAACTTGAAAGCACCGTGATAAGAACTTGAAGATGTTTGGGCAACTTTTGAAACTTTTGTCTCATTCCTTCTACAGCCTGTGAGTTTACTCTGTGCCAGGCACTTGAGATAAGGTAGAACAGTCACACCAACAAACGGGCATGTCCTGCAAACCTAGAGTTCCTACAAGTTAGTAAACACAAACACTTGGACAAAAGGACAAAGGAATTGGCATGTAGCTTACAAAAGAATGTACTTTTCAAAATGACCACAGAAGCCTCAGCTGTGGACATTCCCTCCTGTCCAGAAATAGGTCAGAGGAGAAAGTAGCAGAGATTTCTTACCACGTGGAGTTTGCATCATATTGATTTTTAAGGCTAGGCCAAGAGGGTGGCTCAGTAGATAAGAACACTTGCCACGTGTGTTCAAACCCCAGGACCCTCCTAGTAGAGGGAGAAAACTAACTCTCCCCAAGTTGTCCTCTGATCTCCACGTGCATACCATGACACACCCCCTCCCCCAAATAAGTTTTTGAAATAAATGTTTGAAAAATGCCATCTCGAACTTAACACATCTAAATGTATTTGCTGCCCATTACCCAGTGTCCCACAGTTGCTCTCCCTTTCTACCCCAGTAAGTACTGTTCCTTCAGATTGAAGTTTTAGCATGTACATATTAAAAAGAATAAGCACTGTCTAAAGTAAAAAGAAAAATACCATCTCACAGTATTTTTAAAAAAGAGAGAGGGCTGAGGGTGTCGCTTGGTGACAGTGTGCTTGCCTTGTGTATGCACAGCTCTGGGTTCAGTCCAGTACTACCCTCACATACATACCTCTGCCAAGAGGCCCAGAGAGTCACCAGAGAATTGAGCAGAAGACGATAGAGCAGAAGAGACAGATGTGAATGGGGACAGCCTTCCATAGGCTCATTGACATGCACCCTGGGAGGTCCACATGTTTCTGCTACCTAAACCATCAGATGTGGGATTCACTGACATTTCAACCTGTTCTATGACTGACTTTCACTTTCTGGATGCTGTCTTTGAGGTACAAAAGTTTTTAGTTTTGAAGAAATACAACATACCTTTCTCCGACACCCGACCATATGTGTGTTTGGTTTTAGACTGCTATTTTTGCGGGTTCTTAAGTTCTGAGTCTCTGCAGAGGGAACTACCTAACTCATCATACTCTCAGCAACAATACATGAAGAATTCCTGCAACTCAATAATTCAAAAAGACAATCCACTTAAAATAAGAATAAAGGCTTTGAAAATGCTTCTCCAATAATACAATCAAATGGCAAATCTACAAAAAAGGTACCTGAGTCTAGGGAGTTGCAAATCCAAATCCACTCCATCCCGCCCGTTAGAGTAGCCATGGATGGGCAGTTACACATGTTTGTAACATGTGAAGAAATGGGTACCTTCCTGTATGGTTGGTGGGAATGTAAAATGTGTGGCCACATTCGGAAACATGCTGACACATTTCCTCAAGAAGTTAAATGGACAGATACCATAGACACAACAGTTCTAAGCTTGGACCTATAAGCAAAACATCTGAAAACTGCTGTGCATGCAAAAATCTGCTTCACGGATGTCTGTGGCAGCATTACACATAATAATAACGAGAAAGCTGGGACAATCCTGCTGTGGAGTGAGTTAGTCCTCTCTAGAATTTAGGTGCTGTTGCATGATGGATTAACCTTAGACTTCAAAGCCGTAATTGGGTCCTGACAGCTTCTTTCTCCTGACCTGGCTAAGGACACTAGTAGGGGGAATTTGTCTCTTTCTTGTCCTTTCACCCTCCACCATGTGAGGACATGGTGTTTCTTCCTTCATGAAGATACAGAAAGAAGGCTGATTCTCATGGCCTCTTTTTCTGCCATCCAGACCCTGGGCCTCCCAGCTTCCAGACCCATGAGAAATGATTTCTCTTTTTAGTACGTGACCTACCTAGTCTTTGGTATTCCTTGCATCCCTCTAGAAAGACTTCAGAGAAACCCAAATGTCCATTAGCTGATGCATGGGTAAGCAACACAGAGTAGAGCTGAACACTGCAATTGTCCTCAGCAATGAAAAGGGAGGAAATGCTGGCACCTCACATAGACGGAGCTGAGAAATACTGTATTTAATGAAAGGGACACTCATAAAAGGCTGCACAGCCAATGGTCACCTTTGGGACATGCCCAGAACAGCAAATCTACAGATATGGAAAACCCACGTGGGCAGCCTGGGCTGAGGGCTGGGTGGGGAGCCTTGTGAAGGATGGGGGTGATGGTAGTGGTTAGGCTTTTTGTTTCTGGGGATGATAAAATGTTAGAGCGTCCATCATAAATATAGTTACCCAGCTCCATGACTATAATAATACCCTTTGGTTGACTTATATAGTATGTGAATTATGTCTTAACAAGTCTGTCATTTTAAAATATACCATAGTTTCAAAACTCTAAGTTATGACTGTAAACTTATGTAGTTATGACGATTTGAGGGGAATTGTTCTTCCGTGTTGACAGTTTGAGGGGAATTGTTCTTCTGTGTTGCTTTGAGACAAGATCTTGCAGTGTAGCTTGGGGTAACCTTGAACTCTCCATTCTACTTCTCTCTCCACACTGGATGACATGCACCACCATGCCCAGCTATTAATAGAGTTTTAATTTCATGCAAGCCTAAATTGAAGAACATACCTGGAATCTCTGCCTTGCTTGTATTGCCTGTGATCTAGGTTCTGTGATGGAAGCATGTCTGTGCGTGTCTTGTCTTATCTGCGGAAAGGAACTTAACTGAGGCTCCACCGGTTGCAAGTCTGGGGAGGCAGCATCTGAGAGACTGGCTGGAAGGCACAATCTGGGGACTTGGTGTTTCAAAGCAGCCTCCTGGGCTTTAAAGAACCCCACTGAGATGTTCTGTGACCACATGCACACACAGATGTGCTCACACTCCACACATACAACCTATGCACATACACATACCATATCTACACATACATACTCACCCCCCCCCACACACACACAGCCATGGCAAGAGAAAGTTAGATGGCTCCTTTGGGTGTGGCCTCCAGGAAGCAATGCACTAGCAATGCTCATGCAGCATGTCCTGTGTGTGTATGTGTGTGCATATGTGTGCATATGTGTGCATGTATGTGTGTGCTATGTTGTGGGTACATGTGTAGTGTGTATATGTACATATGTGCATGTAGCGTGTGTATGTTGTATGTGTGTATATGTGGTATGTGTATGCACATATGTGGTGTGTGTGAATATATACATGCATGTATGTATGTGTTTGTGCATGTGTGGTATGTGTCTGTGTGTGCTCATTGCTGTCTTCGATGCCCACAGGCTAAGTGATGACAAAGACCCAGTTCCTTGGCTTCCAGGTGTGCACATTGACTTCCTGCCAGTAACTCACAAGCTGTCACCTGAGAATCTTAACATCCTGCAGTTATTAGAGGAATAAACATGCAAAGCATAAACGTTCCCAGGAGAATGCCCAGTGCCTAGTAAATGTGGAATAGATATGAGACAGGATTGCCCAGTGCACACATACCACTCATGCACATACATACCGTATGTGCGCATATACACATACCATATGTACACATACATACACGCACACACACGCACACACACACACACACACACACAGCCACGGGCCTTGCACTCCGCAAGGCTTCAGATGGCTGTGGCCTGGTTTATGGGTTTGTTTGTTTTATGTTAGTCTGACACAAACTAGAGTATTGTTTGGGGAGAGGAATCTTAGCTGAGAAAATGCCTCTATTAGATTGGCCTGTAGGCAGGTCTGTGGGGCATTTGATTTGCTAATGATTGATGTTTGAGGACCCAGCCTACTGTGGGTGGTACCACCCCGGGCAGGTGGTGTGTGTGGTGTGTGTGTGTGTGTGTGTGTGTGTGTGTGCGGGCACGTGCGCAAACCAGTAAGCAACACTCCTCCATTGCCTCTACCTGAGTTGCTGCTTTCAGGTTCCTGCTGAGTTTCTCCTGCCTTGGCTTCCCTCAGTGACAGACTGTATGTGTAAGCTGAAATAAACTCTATCCTCCCCAAGAGACTTTTGGTCGTGGTGTTTATTACAGCAATAGAAACCAAACTAGAGGAGTCTGTTTGGATCAGAGTGACAGTGGGCCTCACGTGGTCCATCATTTCTCTTCTGTGGGAAACAGGAATCCAGTTCTGCAAAGCATAACCTGGCCTCTCTAGCTCTTCAGTGCTTCTGGTGGCCAAACCACTTAATAAGCACTTCCTATAACTAGCTATTTCTGTGAACTATACTGTCACCAAAACCAGGCTGCTAAGTCAGAAGGAGCATTGTGCATTCTTTACAAAGAAGGAAACTGGTCCTTAGAGTGGTGACACTCTATAGTCACCCAGCTTGTGAGTAGAGCGACAGAGATTCTCCCAGCGCCGAGCCTCCTGCTTGGGTTGTTGCCTGTTGAACCAGAAAGTTGCACAGAAAATGACTCAAGTCATCTGCCCATTTTTTGTCCCAGGCCATTCTACCTTCCCAATGGCTTCCAGCTCTGAACTGGCTTGCAAACTTCCTGTTGCCCAGATCCTTATCCTACCTGTAAGTGACTGTGATCTCATTCATGCTTCATCCTGTCACTGGCATTGTGCAGGCCTGGCTGTGGACTGTTGAGCAAGGTACACAGCAGGCTGGCTGACTGGACTGAGCCTGGAGTGCTGGCGTGAACAAAGCTGTCACCTAGGTATTTTTGTGTCCATCCACCACCATCTTGTGTGTGGCAGAGTTGAGCCTTAGCTTGACTATGGCTCACAGGCCACAAGCCGGGCCCTGTAAAACCAGAGCCCACTGTGCGTAGCAGAAGAGCTCTCAATGGTGGGAGTGTGGCGGTCTATCTACCACAGGCTTTCTTAGAACAGCATTTTTAAACAGCCTTCGTCAGGCTAACCAGTCTAACTTGGATTGAGTTCACTAAAACCTGTCTCCTCATCACCACCATCAGTGAGTCTTGCATCTGTAAGATGTATTAACATGCTGGTTTTCATCACATGGCAAGCAAGCAATGTCCACTGTGGGTTTCTTTTGTCTTTTTATATTATGTGTGTGAAAGCCAGGGACAGATTTACTATGGGGCTCCTGCAGACAGTTAAACCAGCCACTTTGTATAATAAATGTCTGTGTTCCCTTTCATTTTGTGTCATTTGAAAAATCTGTTTCTTACCTCACTTGGACAGGAAATACAGTTGCAATTGTTTCTATGTCCCAAACTATGGTACTCTAAACAAATGAGGGTGGGGGTGGGTGGGGAGAGAGAGAGAGAGAGAGAGAGAGATATGACTCAGTGATAGAAATTGTGCCTATTACATGGCCAGGCAGACCAGACTCCACAGAACCTTCAGTCAAAAGGCCAACAACTCTGGTGTGTGTGTGTGTGTATGTGTGTGTGTTCCTAGCTCAGTGTAGCCTGTATGATGAACTCTCCAGGCTAGTAAAAGAAACTGTTTAAAAAAACACAAGGTTATGGCTCAATACCCGGGGTTCACCTTTGACCTTGACAGGATAATGGATAATGCAGTAGGAAGCTATGCCACTTTCAATGGGAACAAATCTAAAACTGGAGAAATTAGATCATACCCCAGCTACATTCAGTCCTCGATCTATCTTCTACTTTGATTTGACTATGGCTTGTTCATGTAATATCTGATACTGTGGTGCAAGACAGATGAAGGGTCCAGAAGAATGCAAAGTGGAGGCTAGAGACGAGCCCTTGGATAGATGCTTGGGGATCTTTGGCAGCGGTGCCAAGAGAAGAGAAAAGGACAGCTTCCTTCCACTGGAGACAGAATTAAGGAAATGGGATATCTACATGGAAGCCATAGAAGGACTCCTACCTTACTCTCTGTACAAAACCAACCCCAAATTGATTTTAAAGATCTAAGAATAAGATCTAATGTTACAGAAATACAAGAAAAAACTATATGACCCTGGATTTGGAGAGAGTTTCTGGATGTGACACCAAGACACAGGCACCAACATTGACAATGATACAGCAAGCTCAAGATTTCCTGAGCAACAAGACAGAGCCAGCACACAATCATACATCCTGGGCAACAAGACAGAGCCAGCACACAATCATACATCAACAGTTAGCAGACGCCTGTGGAATGAGAGAAAACAGTTACATGTCAGGGGCTAGAGAGACGCCTCACTTGGTAAAGTCCTTGTCTTGTAAATATCAGACCCTGAGTTTGAGCCCCAGAACCTGTGTAGAAAAAGCCAGGAGTAGTGGCTTGCAATCCTAGTGCTGGGAGGTAGGCCCTGAGGCTCACTGGGAATTCAGCCCAGCCTGATTGGCCAGCTCTGACCAGCAAAAGACCTTTTCTCAAAAAAACAAGGTGGAAGACACCCAAAGAACAACACCCAAAGTTGACTTCCAGCCTCCCTTCATCCACATCCACACATGGGCACAAAGGTTTAAAAAAAATCAACTTTTTTGCTGCAAAATTTGCTAATTACAACTATCTGATATGGAGTTAATATCCAAATATATAAAGAACGTCTAAGACTCAACAACAAGAAATATCAAGAAACTTGATTAAAAGAATGAGGAAAGGACTCAAATAACATTGCTGCAAAGGTGATCTGCTTTACAGCAGACAGGCCTACGGGAAGACATCCACATCATTCGTCTTCAGGAAGCTGTCAATCAAATCACAGTGAGTTCTCACTCCATACTCATTGTGGCTACTACCAAACACAGCCCGGAAGAACTAAGGAAAATACGGATGTTGGGGAGAGGCAAGAGCTGGCTGCTGTGCATTGCTGGGTGGGGGCGGGGTGGTGGGGCTGTGGGGCCACTGGGGAAGCAGAGCGGCAGTCCTTCAGTTACTAAGAGAACTACCATGCAACCAGCAATCTACCTCTGGGACTCACCTGAAAGAACTTAAAAGAGGCCTTTAGTGATACACTAAGTATACACTTGTGTCCATTACAACACTACTCATAATCTCCAAAATGAGGAAGAAGCACAGATGCTCACAGACAAATGGAGAAGCATCACATACAGAGAACCCATTTTCCCAGGGAACTGGTCAGAATGCTTGGACTCATGCGAGACATCGGTCCTGTCACATGCTCTGACATGGTGACATGCTATGGAATAGGCCAGGCACAAGCAGACTGCCGAAGCTGCCATTCAGATGATGTATATGGCATGGTCACATCTACAGGGACAGAAGGAAGGGCACTAAAGGAGCAACAGAGCATAAAGTAGGGGCTAACAGGCCTGGAACCTCTGCCTGGCAGGCTGAGGAACTCTAGGCCTGTGTTTCACAAGTGCACACCTGAAAATGCTTGTGATGGGAAACTTGCTGGTGTGCATTTCTTGCACGACAGAAAAATGCATATAAAAATGTTAAGTAAAAGCAATAGAAGCCACTTGAGAGACAGAAAGAGGAGGATCAAGGTGAGCTTGAGGCCAGTCTGGACTACGTAGTGAGATCCTGTCTCAAAACAAAAACAAACAATAGTAAAGGGAGATTATTTGACTGTCTCTTGTTAGATATTGTAATATATTTATGTTGTAATAAATGTTGTAATTTCTTTATAGATGAGTGTTATGGCTCACAGCTTTAATCCCAGCACCTGGGAAGCAGAGGCAGGTTGGTCTCTGAGTTCAAGGCCAGCCTGGTCTACAGAACAAGTTCAAAGACACCAGGGCTACACAGAGAAAACCTGTCTTGCAAAACAAAAATAAGTAAATATTATAATATATCGATATTTTTATATTTCATCCAGAAAATTACCAAGTAAAATTTAATTAAATATTGACAAACTCTGTAAGAGTTGTTTTAATACAGAAAAGCTTTTAATGTAAGAACAAAAGCAAACAAAAAAGTAATATCCAATATTTTTAAAGCAAACACTAAAGGCACCAAACTGCATATTCTAAAACTACTTTTAAAAACAGAAATATCAATTTTGAAATGGACTATAGACATTACTTAACATTCTGAAAGAAATTCCCCTGTGGTAAGACAGTTTTGCTAGCAGTATTTTCCCTAATAAGCGAATAAAATCCAGTTACCAAAATAATTTATTAAAATAAATCATGTTTTCAAAGGCCAGGGTTCCTGTGAGGCTGGAGGTGAAGAAGTCCTGCCATGTTTCAATGACCACTAAATACTGAGTAGAAACACCAGGCAAAGGGCCACGTGGGCACAGTTCACAGAGGGACCACAGGAGCTGCTAGTGCTGTCCCTTAGTCCGGCAGAAACATCCAGAGCACCATCTGCTATTGTTTTACTGCTGTGGCTTAAGCAGGGTCTAAGAGTTTGGGGTCCTGTTTTGTTTTGAGGTTGTCTCCCCTTGTTGCTCTGGCTGGCCTCAGTCTTCCCGTGTTTACAGGCCTGCCAACACACAGCAAAGTCCAAACTTCTATAAAGCTTCCAGAATTACCAACCTGCTCATAATACACGTTGAACTTAAGGTCAGCCTCGAATGCTCAAGATAATCACTAAATTACCGGTCAAGTGGTAATGACGGAAGACATTAGGTGTAACTTAAAAAGCCCCTCCCCCAAATGTGAAGATTAAGATTCCGAAACTGGCTTTAAGACAGGTTGTGAATAAGTGAACGCAGCTTAGTAAACCTTAACGTTTGTTTTCTTCTCTCTCACTCTCCAGCATTTTTGCTTTTATTTGGTTCTAGGGATGATACCAGGGCCTCTTTCTTGTCTGTCATAGTCTCCTCCTCTGCCCCCTAGCCTCCCTCCACGCCTACCCCCCACCCCTCTGCTCTATGTGTATGTATTGCCTACATTAACCTTTTCCCTGCTTTCCAAGTAAAAATGATATGTTTACACATCAATTTGCATTCATTTGATTATTTAGGAGTTTAAGCATTTAAAACCTATTTTAATTTGCTGGAGACTCTAGTTTAATTATGAATAATGCTTGTTGGCGAACGAATGTTGTACTCTTTTCCTGGTTATAGCACCAATTTCACAGTAATAATTTTAAGTTTGTCCCTGTAATTTAATTTACAGGCTGTAGAGTAATCATAATAATTTTAAATTTGATGCTGCTCATTAGCTATGTTGTTGATGCTTTATGTTTTCCTTTAAATAAATTTAATTATTTATTTATTTATTTATTTTTATTGAAATAGTCTTGAATGACTTGAGTTCCCACTGTCTAGAAACAATCAAAATTACTATTTAGTATGTAACATGAAAATATATATACTGTGTTTGGGGCTCCTAAATTTCAAATGCTAAATCTAGTGCTTTATTTAAGAGGTGTTTGTGGTTTAGATTACAACAGAATTGCCAGAGCCCACTGGCTTTATATTCCCTCTCTTCATCCCACCCTTCACAGAGAGGAACCAGGAAGTTTTATGTAGGGACTTGGCTCTGTGCTGGGTTTACCACTTTCAGCCTTTGGCTGCTTCTTACTTCACCAAGAGCTGGTTCTGGAGGCTGCCGGTGAACCAGGACTTGACGATGCTCAGCTGTCACAGTGAACTTAGGTGACACCACTAACCAGGACTCTCTCCTTGTTCTAGATTTTACCGGAAGACCAAACTGGTTGGTTTTCAAGACATGGAGTGTGTGCCCTGCGGAGACCCACCCCCTCCCTACGAACCACACTGTGAGTGATGTGCCAAGTGGCAGCAGACCGTTAAAAAAAGCAAAATACAAAAAAACCTGTGTCTAGAAAGCCCTTTATTGTGTGCCTCGGTCAACAGTAACCTTTGATTTGGACGTCCAGAGGAAACAGGCATTTCGTTACTGGTTCCTTTGCACCCTTCATCTTTGATGCTCAGCGCAGCAGACCTGCGTTCACTGGGTTGTCCGGGACTAGTGCTCAGAAACTCTGGGAATTCCGTGTTTCTGTCCTTGATAGGAACACACAGGGGTAGATACTTTCTGAACTCCCCCCCCTCCCAACCCCGGGAGTCCCTCCTCCTTCATAACGTATCCATCGGATTCCCTGCTCACTAATTCTTCTGTTCCTCTCACCTGTCAAATCACTGAGGAGAGAAGACTCTTCGCACCCGTCAGAGTTGGGGGCAGCAGCACAGGACACTTGAGTCTTTGTGTTAACATTAGTCTTTTGACTATTATTTTTCTTCCCTTGGAAACAAGGGCATTTATTGTGTTCTCAGTCTGCACGGTGGCTGCTCACTGTCTTAATTCTAAGAAAAGCTGGCTGACAACCACCCAGGCAAGGGATGGGGTCAGATAGCGAAGGGTGAGGCAGGCTCTACAGACCCAGCAGGGCTTGCCGGACAGACTTTCTGATCCATGGTATCTGCCCTCTTGCTTCTTTCTGTAACAAAAACCAAACAAAACCAAAGCTGCACGGTTGAATCTGGTAGCCTTTCTTTCTTGGCTCACTGTTTAACAACACTCTACAAATCTACCATATAGGAGATACTGCTGGGTCTTCTTTATGGGTTTACATGTGAAACATCCTCCTGCCAATTAAAACTCAAGGACCTGGTCCTGCTTGTCGACCACTTGTTTTTAGGAGGCGAGCTGATCTGTTATTAAACAAATGGCATCAGTTAGACCAGGTTAGAGCTGGAGAGTGCTATGGCCCTCCCCTCCCCCACGCACTTGATGTGCTGGGTTTGGTTTAATGCAATCAAAAGTCTGAGACTTTGGAATGTTTTGCCTTTAGGGTTCTAGCTAGCTAAGCTTAGATAGCATGAAAGGGCCTTCAAACACGGGACTCACATGCAGCTCTCATGTCTTATGAAGCCTTTGGTCAGACAACTTGGAAAAGACAATTAATTAGTTTAGCATATAGAAATATACATTCCTCCATGTGTCGAACTTTCTAGAAAATAAAGAAAGATAGTTGTGAAGTCAGAAGTGCAGCGGGCCAGCTGAGGGCTTTCCGGTCACAGATGGAGAGAGACTAGGGTCTTGGTGAACTTCAGTTCTGTCAAAGAGGTTTTTGCTGTCTTTGGCACCTTCCTCAGGAAGCAGCCCAGAATTTAACTAATCCCCTCAAAGGAGATCTGGAAGTCTTTGGGGGAAATGATCCTGGCGCCTCCTGTTTGTGTTTCTCCTCAGGGCTTTTCAATTTATCCACAAAGAGCTTCTTCTTCTGGCCCCCTGGGGGTTCCTGTGCCCTTGAGCTTCCCAAGGTTGTGGGAAGTAGGCATCCTCCAGGCTGCCTCACAAGGTGGGGTTTGTCTCAAGGTGAACGTGGGAACAGGCTCAGAGAAGGAGTTGTGGTCCCAGGACCTGGGTACTAGATTGGAGGAGGACCCCAGGGTCACTCTTTTCTCTTCTTCTTCAAAACAAAGCAAAATGCGGACTTACACTGGTATTCCATTTCCAAAGATTGACAGTTTCAGTTCGTGTGCTTTTAAATTTGTTTTTGTTTTTTGTTTTTCAAAGAATGTTTCCCAAGCACTTAGACTATCAGATTGCTGAACACTCTTTATAGAGAGGTGAAAAGTCTTAGTATTGACTGAGGCATGGTGACTCAGCTATAGTCTCAGCACTCAGGAGGCAGAAGCAGGGGAAGGCCTTGAGTTGGAGGCAAACCTGGGATGTAGAGTAATACCTTGTCTAAAAACAACAATAACAACAACAACAAAACCCAAAACCCAACTAAGTCCTAGTATCTTTGGCCACATAAGCACTCAGAAGGGCGTGGTGTATGAATCTCTCTGTGACAGCAAGGCTTCCGGCTTGTCTGTGCAGGGTAACGGCCACATGGCAACTAGCAGAGGCTTTCAGTCCAAGCACTTCTGTGACACGCTGCTCAGCAAAGCTTGTGAATACTATGTAGGAAAAGCCATATCTGAACCAGGGAAGGGGACAAGCACAATGGACTACCTGATTTGGAGCCCCTACATCTCTACTTTGAAAACCCAGACCGATAGCAAATCAACTGGGAAGAACTTTGAAATGCTGTATTTTGCTAGATGAATTGTACAAAGCCCCAATACCAGAAATGCCTCCTTCAGGGGATTACTGGTGTTTCTCTCTACTTTTCTCCCTTAAGCAAACATAAAAGTGCAGTAAGTTCAAATGTCCTTTTAAAGTTAATTTTGAAATGACTTTAATTCATGATATAAGAAGGCCTTTTAATTTTAAGTTCTTCCAAGCGATTTGAAAATAATCACACTGTTTAACAGTGTGGCTCGTTACACATCAGTATGAGGAACCGGGATCTGCTTTTCGAGCCCCGAGCCACGCGCAACTGCCAACACTGCAGGCCAATGCACCTCCTGCACTCCTTTCTCCCACACGCAGAGATTTATCTCACGGGCATGACTTTAGAATCACGTGGCCTGTTGTACAGAGCCCTCAAGAACAGAGCAAACATCTAGGTTAAACACACTTTAAACACAGTCGTACTCTGGTGAAAGCCGCTTTGAACCACTTCTACATCACTTATTCCAGCCACAGCAGCGTTCCAAATCGAATAAACAGTACTCAAGAAAATCCCACAAAGTCTGTATTTTTCATCAGACCCAAGACAAGGTTTAGCTCTAAAATATCTTGGGTGTTTTCTTCTCTCTCTTCTTACTGTCCCAAGTGGGCGTACATTTGATACAGTCAGAACAAAGCCTGCAGTTGGGAATTTTACATAAAGCACCTTTCTTTTGTCTACAGTGCCACTGTCAATCCCATGTTCCAAGATCAGCCACTCACTACCACCAATTAATGCTACTGGCGACTTGGCAGAGGGTCTGTGGGTGGATAGAAGCCTCATTTTTGTAAACTACATTGTTATGGGGGTTCTCAGCATGCATCTGTTGGGGATTGGGGATGGGAAATGACTAGCTGAATTGGGGGCTCCTAGCTATCAGCACATCAGAAAGTAGACTGCCCCTTTGTACTGTCCTTTGCTGGGCTCCTGCATCAGAGATAGGTATATGCAGGCACTGTCCCAGGAGAAGCCAACTCCTGAACTACCATATCCCCAAGTGCATGATCAGGGTAGGAGGAGCTAAGGAGACAGAAGGCAGGTGACATTACACCTTGAGCAAGGCAAAGCAGCACAGAGATGGAGGTCCTGAGTTGTATCTGGGGCTCGTGACAACATACTGGCACTCATTCACTTAGTTATACCCCAAACCCACTACCTGGGTATTATTATTCCTGTTGTCCAGGGAGTTAAACAGTTAAAGAGAAGAGTAACTGCTCAGGTCATATGTCAGTTCAAGGCAGAACCACAGCTAGAGGACAGAACTCAGAAGGTCACAGCTGGGGCTTACTCTATACTCTGAATCACAACAGCTTTCAAACTTCTTATGACTTACAGAAAAAAATGGGCATTATGTCAGTGTTTTATATTTAGGACCCCCCTCCCCCAGTCATAATTTATTTTCATTGCTACTTAATAACTTATTTTGCTACAGAGTTGTGTCTCCGTTCTTTTTCTTTTTTTTTTTTTTTAAAGATTTATTTATTTACTTTTTATGAGTACACTGTCACTCTCTTCAGACACACCAGAAGAGGGCATCTGATCCCATTACAGATGGTTGTGAGCCACCGTGCGGTTGCTGGGAATTGAACTCAGGACCTCTGGAAGAGGAATCAGTGCTCTTAACCACTGAGCCATCTCTCCAGCCCCGTGTCTCAGTTCTTAAGACCACTGGAAATATGTGTTTCCCGATGGTGGCAACCCACAGATTGGGAACTGCTGTTCTAGGCACACTTGTGAGGGATTATTTACCTTACATTAGACTCTGGACGTGCCTGTGAGGGATGTTCTCCATGTGGTAACTGAGATGGCTTACAGAGCCGAGCACCATCATCCACCCGCCCATGTGACTAGTGTGAGCTGCTGCCTCAGGCTCCTGCCACCTTGAGTTTGCCACCATTGTCGACTGTACCCTCAAACTGTGGAGTGAAATAGATCCTTCTTTAAGATGCTTTTATCAGGCAGGGTGTTTTATCACAGCAACAGAAAAGTAACTGTGGCATCAGGGGACAGGCACTTCTTCCTTGTGTTTAAATCACTTGCGGCTGCAGGGCCACAAGCTTACCCTGTAAAGAAAGAAGTGTCTATTTGGACAATGTCTATTATAAATTTATGCCACAGTGCTGGCTCCAAGCCTCGTGATGCTAGGCGGTGCTCTGCCCGCCAAGCTGCACTTTCAGGTCCCCTTTTATTCTGGCTGCAGTCTCACTATGATGCCCAAGCTAGTCTTGAACCCATCCCAAGTGATTCTCTGTCTCCATCTGCCGAGTAGCTGGGCATATAAGCACATGCTACTGAGCCCCATTTCAGACTTTCTTTGCTGCACAAATAAGCTGGGGAGAGATTTGTTCTCTGATGCCCCGAATCTCCTCCATCTCCCATCAGGCATTTCTTCATGCACAAAACTGTTTCCAGGCCACACTAATTTCACTAGTGTTCTTGGGGCCCGAGCCTGCCCTGCCCACCACACTGCTTGGATCGTCCCTGGTTCCCTATAAGGCAGCAGCTCTCTAAAGCACTTGGAAAGGGAGCTGCGTGGCTCAGTAGGTAAAGCACTGGCTGTGCAAGCATGAGGAACTCAGTTCAGATCCACAGCACCTACGTAAATTCTGAGTATGGAGACATAAGTGTAGCCATGGCACTGGAGGCTATGTGTTGTGGGGCGGGGTTTGGGGCACATGCTACCAGTGTAGCCA